TCAGCTGGGACCTCTGCAGTCAGCCAGGACTCCTGATAAATGAAGAAGAGTGACCTGGTGAGCACCCCCGCCAGCTCTCTCAAGATCATCCTTAAGTGTAGAACATCCTTAAGTGTAGTTTTAAATTGCCAACTTATAGTAAGCTTAAAGCTTCACTTCCACAAGGTAGTATGTTTTATCTCTTTCTTTGGCCAACAAATCCCTCATTTCTACGGGTTTACCAAAACCTCTGTCATTTGAAAGTAAAGGAAATTTACTGAAAATAATGTGTTAGTGCTTTGAAGCGTTCTGGCTTGTATTTCCCTTCAAAATGTTAGCTTACACAGTCTTTATTGGTAAGTTAAAATAATAGGTAGTTGAGAGACACAGATAGCATTAGCCGTTTGGAGAGTCTCTTATGTTCATAGCCCAAGTGCTTGAGTCTTTCTTTGTATTAGCCTGAACCAGGAGTAAACTGCATCTGTCCTGCCATTAGAGGTAGCTTACCTAGCCTGTAAAATAAATGCTACATCCAGTCTTCTGTTTTTTACACTACCATGTGAGACTTAAGCAATCTGCCACACTCCATTAAACTGTCCCTGATAGTCACCTGTTAATTCCTCTTGCAGGCAGGCCTCACTAGGATGATGTGATATGAAATTATAGAATCATAGAGTTGTCAGAGTTGGAAGGGACCTTAAAGATCATCTAGTTCCACCCCCCCTGCCATGGGCAGGAACATTAGGCTGCTCAGAGCCCCATGGAGCCAGTCCTTAAAAACCTTCCAGTGATGGGGCTTCCACCACTTCTCTGGGCAACCTCTTCCAGTGTCTCACCACCCTCATGGTGAAGAACTTCTTCCTAATATCCAGTCTGAACTGATCCATCTCTAGCTTTAATCCATTCCCTCTAGTGCTATCACTACCCGACATCCTAAAAAGCCCCTCCCCGGCTTCCTTGTAGACCCCCTTAAGATACTGGAAGGCAACAATAAGGTCTCCTCGGAGCCTTCTCTTCTGTGGTCTCAACAACCCTAACTCTCTCAGTCTGTCTTCATAGGAGAGGTGCTCCAGCCCTCTGATCATCCTTGTGGCCCTTCTCTGGACACACTTCAGCATGTCCATATCTTTCTTGTGTTGTGGGCTCCAGAACTGGACACTACTCCAGATGGGGCCTCACAAGTGTGGAGGAGGAGAATCACCTCCCTTGACCTGCTGGCCACGCACCTTTTGATGCAGCCTGGGACACGACTGGCTTTCTGGGCTGCAAGTGCACACTGGTGGCTCATGTAGGGCTTCTCGTCCACCAGTACCCCC